ACCCTTTTCATTCCTTATTGCTTATATTTGATTTTTTTCCCCTCTTTTTTGATGAGGTTAGCTAGGGGATTATCAATTTTATTTATTTTTTCAAAGAGACAGCTTTTTGATTCGTTAATTCTTTGAATGGTTTTCTTCATTTCAATTGAATTAATTTCTGCTCTAATCTTTATGATTTCATCCCATCTTTGGGCTCTGGGTTTGGTTTGCTCTTCCTTTTCTATATGTTGGAGTTGCAGCATTAGTGAGTTTATTTGTTCCCGTTCTGTGTTCCTAATATGTGAATTCACAGTTATGAATTTTCCTCTGAGAATTGCTTTCATCGCATCTCATGAATTCTGATGTTATGTTTGAATTTTCATTGAATTGTAGATATTGTTGAATTTCTTGCTTAATTTCATCTATGACCCATTGGTTGCTGAGGAGGCTTTTGTTTAATTTCCATGTATTTATGGTTTTTTTTTTCTGGTTTCTCTTGTTATTTATTTCCAGTTTCATTGCACTGTGGTCAGGTAACATGCATGGGATAATTTCTGTTTTCTTGCATACACTTAAGCATGACCTATGGACCAGTATTTAGTCTATTTTAGAAAATGGGCATATGTCCACTAAGTCCATTTGTTCCAAGCTCTGGCTCAATTCTGCTACATCTTTGCTAATTTTTTGTCTACTCAACCTATCTTTTTGGGATAAGGGGGTGTTAAGGTCTCCTGTTAAGATTGTGATATTGGATAGTAGGTTTTTGCATGTCCATTGAGATTTGTCTTATATAGTTGGATGCATAAGTATTTATGAGTGTTACCTCTTCCTCTTGTTTTTTTCTCCTAACCAGTATATAGTGGCCTTCTTTAATTCATTTGATCATTCTTGGTTTGAAGTTGAGACTGTCTGAGAACAGGATTGCTACCCCTGCTTTTTTCTGAGGTCCTGGGGCATGTAGTATTGTTTTCCATTCTTTGACTTTCAGCCTATGAATTTCTTTATGTGAGTTAAGTGTGTTTCTTGTGTATAGCATATTGTTGGATTTTGTTTCCTAATCCATTGTGTCAGTCTATTTCTTTTAATTGTTGAATTGAGTCCACTTACATTGATGGTGATAATTGAGATGTATTGACTTATGATTGACATGTTGTTATCTACCTGCTGATATTTACTCCTTTTTCTCCTGTGTTTGTTTGCACTATTTAGTGGGTTCCTTCCATTGTCATTCATGGAGTTCTGATCATTTTTGTCCCTCTCTAGAAAATCTTTTACTAGTTTGTGTAGGCTTGGCTTTGTCATCATGATATTCTTTAGTTGTTCTTTGTCATGGAAGTATTCCACTTCTCCATCAAACTTGAGAGTTTTGCAGGGTATAGTAGTCTGGGCTGAAATTTGTTTTCTTCGAGCACTTGAAGTGCTCTGTTCCATGCTCTTCTTGCCTTCATGCTTTGTGAAGAGAAGTCAGCAATTATTTGGATGAGTTTTCCTATCAATGTGATCTGTTTCTTTCCTCTAGCAGCTTTCAGTATATTGTTATTGTGCTGGATTTCTGGGATCTTGACTATTCTATGTCTCAGTGTGTTTTTAATTGGGTTGATGTTATTTGGAGTTCTGTATGCTTCAGTTATTGAATGTCAGATTGTTTGCCCATATTTGGGAAGTTTTCTGTTATTACTTCTGCCCATATTCCTTTTATATCATTTGTATTGATTCCTTCTTTCTCATTCATGCCTATTAGTCTCACATTGTTCATCTTTGCATTAGTTGCAGGTGATGAATTATTTTTAAGAGATCTTTTCTTTCCTTTTTACTAACTGCAATAGTGTCTTCAAGATCTGAAACTCTGTCTCCACTTTCACTCAAATGGTTTTGCAACCTTGTGATTGAGATTTTAAGTTCCTCTATATCTCTTTGAATCTGCTTCATGTGGTCTATTTCTTTCCTATATTGCTCATTGAAGGATTCCATTGTTTTTCTAATGTCCTCTAATTTTCTATCAGTGTCTTCTTGAGAAGCAGTTATTAATTCTTTCATTATAGTTATCCTTTCTTTTTTTACTTCAGAGATTATTTCTGATCTGATTTCATCTATGTTTCTTCATTTGATTCTTTACTTCAGACGCTGTTAATTCAGTTATTTTTTTTATTTCAGAGGTTATTTGTGATCTGAGTTCCTCTAGACCTTTCTGCAGTTGTTTCTTTACTTCAGACACTATTAATTCAGACATTTCAGCTGTGTGATTCCCAATTTCTTATGTGCTAGTGTCTTCTGCATTTGTTCTGGGTGGGCTCAGGGCCTGAGATTGCATTTTGCTCCCTCTTTGTTATTTTGTATAGCACTGCCCTCTGACCTTCAGTGTAAAGCTTTGGTGCAGTTATTACCTTAGCACCTACTGAAATTCAGGTGCAGATCTACGAAGTTTGAATTCATCCAGTTGTGCCTGGCTTGCATTTATTTGCTGTGCTCAGCTTCTTCCTGCGCCAGCCCTTGGAAGTGAACTTGTTGTGTCCCTCTGGCAAGATATTCTGCTCCTGGATTAACTAGGTGGTTCTGACCTCTAGCCTCTCCGCAAGGACTTCAGCTGCAGAGTTTCAGACCAGGCCTGTATGCCAGGCCTGTGCTGGGACTAGAGGGGTCCAGAGAGCAGGACAGAAGGAGTCACTCACAAGTGGGCCTGATCTGGGTTCAGAGGGGTCCAGCAGGCACAGGGGAGTGTGGAAACTCTCCCACACACACACAGGGCTGGGCTTGAACTGTGTCTGGAGGGGTCCCAGATGCAATCTTTTTTAATAACCAAGGGCTTAATTTTTATGTGCTTGAGAAAGATGGCTTTTGTGATTGTTGAAAGTCAACATAATTTACAGGCTTATAGTCAAATTAGTTGACTTTGCTTTTGTAAATCTGAAATCTAGAAAGTTAACTGTGGCCCATTTCTAAGCTTCCATTTTACTGACTTTTGGAACCAGTAATTTTGTATTGTGTGTGTAACTTGTGGTGCTGTGGGACTTGCTGTACATTGTAACAGGTTTAGTGACATTCCTAGATGTCCTGAACTCACCAGATGCCATTGGCACCTTCTAGCTCCTTGCCATTGTTGTGACAATGAAAAACTGTCTGTGCCAAGGTGCTTGACCTAAAGTCACCAAAAAATATCTAAAGCAAGAGATACCAGCCACATGGTTCTTTGATTAGCAAGCAAGTAAATATTAAATTAAGTCATGTTTTCCTTAAATTTTGTTAGGCATTCCATGTATTCATAGTAATACATTCAAGAATTAGGTAATCATTGATTCTACTATATATGTTTAATATTTTATTTTTCTTTGTTCTGTTTTTATCTTTTCGAGACAGGATCTTGCTATACAGTGCAGACTGGCCTTGAGCTCACTTTGTAGGCCAGGCAGTTCTCAAGCTCAGAGCACCCCTCTGGCCTCAGTATCCTGAGTGTTGGGGTTACAGGCATGCGCTTCCATGCCTGGCTAATATTTTACTAATGAAATTATTTAAACACATCCAAAAATTGGGCTAAAACATATAATTAGCAAAAGGAATCCTGGGGAGATAGCTCAGCTATAAAATCATAGAATTAAATACAGAATGTAAAACTTCATCCAAATTTTTTAAATCCCAATACATAATATTAAATTTATATATTATTAACATTAACTTTTTTTTTAAAATAAAAATGTTATAGTTTTATGTTGAGTACTTTTTAAAATCTTTTGTGAAGATTTCATTTGGGCTTTGCCTCCATCTAGTGGACATGTTCTTTTTATTTCACTTCACTGAAATTTTGAAAGACATAAACCACCATCTTGTTTTTATTCTTTGGTTTTAGTTTTGTGGATGTAAAAGAACAGAAACCCCAGTTCATTGCCAAAATAGTATACTTCATACTTATCTTTTATTAACAATTTATTTCCTGAAGAGATAGCTCAGCAGCATCTGCCTGGCAAGCACAAAGTCCTGAGTTTGGTCCCAGCTACAAAAAAAAAAAAAAAAAAAAAAAAAAAATCTGTCAATAATTTATTTCCAAGAGGATTGTAGTGGTGACTAATTGAAAATACATAGATATAATAATGGTTAGAAAATTCAAAATCAAAGGCCATCTATTTATCAATAAAATTATGGGAAAAAAGGCCATCTAAAAGGAAACAAATTGCCTAAATTAATATAATTACTACAACTGACTAGTTATCTCCAAGTTTTTAATATTGAAGAAAAGGAAACAGTGATTGTGTGACTCTTAGTTGATCAAATGAATCACATTTTATGAGTAAAAATATTTGGACTAATTTATTTTTTCTAATTAAAATACTTATAGTTTTATAGAGGTATACTATATGTGCAGCGAAATTCACAAATCTTAGTAATTGTAGAAAATAAGCATACCCAACACAGCTACTGTTGGGGATCACAAATTATAAATTGACAGAATCCTTGACCTGCCTTGTGGGCCAGTTTGGAAACGGGCAATTCCTACTTCCTCTTGCTCAGTGAACTCTCAGAGCAGAATGAAGTCTGCTGAGGACACCACAGGGAACCAGCACCCAGGTGTGGGGATGAATCTCAACGTGTTTCCTTTATGATGTCAAACCTGCCCATTCTGCCACTGCTTCTTAGCTCCTTACCCCTCCTCCTGCACCAGTTCAGTGAAATTGTGGCTAGCTGGGGATTCTGGGCCTTTGTTTCCAGAGAACGTTGATCAACACAGAGCCCTATATTTTTTGAAATTCTTGTCTCTTTCAGTTTCTTTCCCTCAGTGCCTCAAAAGTCCTGGTGATGTAGTAGAATGAAACTCCCCACCTGAAGGGTACCTGGGATGAGTTAGTGTTCTCTTAAAACTGAAGAATGAGTTTTAGGAACAAATGGAGGTTAAGAGCAGAATATGTACTTAAGAAAGCTTCTATCTGAGAAGGACAGAAGGGAGTTGTGAGTGGGTTGCCCAGGAAATCTATCTCTTTCAGGGAATTTTGTAGAGTAAAACCGAGTGGTGAGGTGGGTCTAAGGTGGAGAACATGGGAACTTACTTAGGTGAGCATGAGATGGGACCAAACTATGTTCAACCAATGAGCTTACAAGCACCATTGCTTGGGTAAAATTGATTAAATCTAGAACCAAATGAGGAAGCAAGTCATGTAGCAAGCCAGCACAAATATAGAGCAGGAGCTTATCTGGTAGCCAGCTTGTAGCTATTGGATTAGTGACTTCCTGGCTTCCTCAAGGTGATGATCAATCCCAGATGCTTATCTGTAGGGAGGTAGGCATTTGTTCAATCTTTGATCTTTAGGTCTGGCCCAGAGCAGGAGCATCCTTTTCTTCCAAAATTGCCAAGTCACCTTGTCTTCTGAGGGCCTGGCCTTGTCTGACTGCCTATAATATTTCTGTCTCACTCAGCTGCCTACAGCACTGGTAGGAGATCAGGGACTTTAATACAGGTATCCCCATAATTGGTGCTTGGAAAGGATCTCTGATTCAAGACATACTCCTCTGTAGCATTCCTCCAAAGGTAAACATTATTTTATTGCTATCACCATTACTTAGTGTTTGACTGCATAAGTGGAATAATTTACATTTATGTGTTTTTGCAGTTTTGTTTTTTGTTCTGCTTTGTTACTAGGGATTAAACCCAGCTCTGTACTGAGCTACACACCTACCCTTTATTTTTCATTTAGATACAGGGTGTTGATAAATTGCTAAGTTGCTCAGGATGGGCTTGAGTTTATGACCCTTGTGCCTCCTACGTGGTAGTATTCTAGATAGTTAACTTAGGTAGAAATATAGGCAATCAGACAGTGTTGTGCCCTCTGGAGGCTTATTCACTGAAGGCCAGACTTCAAGAAAAAGAGAAACCACTTACCCATATACTTCCCCTAGAATGTAGAGCAATAATTAATATTCTAAATAAACATCCATCACTTTGGGGTGAAAACCTCTTTAACCCCCCCCTTCCAGGGAAGTCCTTATCTATCCAATGTGCACTTACTACACAACTTGCTTCCCGATTTCATCCCTTCTTAATATTACCTGAGGGATTATATTTGTTGTAACCTTATTGGTTGGCTTTGTGATTTCCCATTACCCGAGTGGCTATACCTGTAATCTTATTGATTAATTATAATTCTGTTCTACCTTGAACCCACAACCCTCGTGGCTTTACTGAATAAAACACCTTTGAAAAGCAGGATTGGTGGGCAACCCACTTTCCAGGCTCCCTTTTGTCCCTCTTAGACAGAAGCTTTCTTTCTCTCAATAAATTCTTCCTACTCTTAACCTCTGTTGTTCCTAGAATTCATTCCTCAGAACTCAGCATTTTGATCATCTAGCAGATGGAGTTTCTTTCCCCTATATCACTGGGATTATAGACCTGTGCCTCTATAACTGGCTACTTCAAGCATTTATGTATTTGGTTTCTTTCACTTAATGTTGAATCTGTGACATTCATTTGTTCTACACATAGAAGTTTTTTCTTGCTCATTGCTGTATTTTGTTCCATGAACATACACTAATTTATAGGTACATTTTTATTTTTGCTTCTTTTTGGAGCTTTTACAAGTAATGTTTAGAGCTTTTGTGAGTAATGTTCCTGCAAATGTCTTATTACTTGGCTTTTGTGAACATATTACACATTTAAATATATGCCTAGTATATTCTGTGGAGCTAAAGAGTATGCTTATATTTAGCTTTATTTATTTATTTATTTATTTATTCATTCATTTTACTTTAAAGAGACAATAAAAATAAAAATGATACAGAATTTCAAAACAAGATAAGAAATTAACAATGGATATTATATTGTATATTGTTATTTTCAAAGTAGTTGTTCAGATTACCAGATACAGGCATGCAAAATTGATCAGACAATATAAGCACTGACTGTTCTTTTCACTGTCAAAACAGTTCTCCAAAGTACTCATTGCTGTCTGCACTCTTACCAACAGGGAATAAAAGCTCCAGGTGCTCCACCTCTTCCCAACCCTTGTTACTACAGGTTTGCTGTTTGCTGTTTATTTAATAGCCACTCTACTGGGTGCATAATACTAGCTCACTGTACTTTCCATTGCATTATCCTGATGACCGTTGATGTGGCACCAGTATTGATAAGTGTCGTGATATGAGTCAGAAGTTTACGTACAGAGGGAGCAAGGAACAAAAAACAGAGCCTAGGAAAGCTGGCTTCTTGTAATTCAGGCAAGCTGGAGACAAGGTAGTAACAGATTCCTGGAGGCAGCAGCACTGTCCTTTGTTCGTTGTTCCTTTACATGGGAAGTCACCCACTAGTGTTATGTAAACTAGTTGGTGAATACTGGAAGGCAATATAGATGTGAGAAGTTTTGGGCTCACTTAGAGTGAGACTAATCTCACTGAGACCCCTATGGCCAATTGGTCGTTCTCCAACAGATATGTATTATCACGTCCCCATGATCCAGTCACCTGCCCAGAGTCCACCTACATGAGCCTCTAGGGAGACATCACAATATAAACCGTAACACCCCCACCACAAGCACACAGACACTTCACAGAAGTGGCATTTCTGGCAGATATGTAGTGATCACACATAACCAGGTCTGTCTCTAGACTTGTTCCACTGACCTGGTTGTAAATGCTAAGTACTTACTGTATTAGCCAAATGAGTGAAAAGCAGTTGTCCCGGAGATGCAGCGGAGACAGACACTCTGGTGTTTGGTTTGACGTCTTGTAGGACACTGAGTGCTGTGAAGTAATGTGCATTTCACTTTTATAAAGTTAGCACCACAATATAATTCTCTCTTTAAGGAGTGCAAAAGGAAAAAAGCAAAAGCAGATTCATGTTCCAAATAAAAAAGCCTCTGGATTTTCTTCTTGCTCCTCAAATCTAACTGTTCTTTTTTTATTTTTTCAATGGAAAATGGAAATATACTTTTTAAAGTTTCTTTTCTTTTTCTTTTTTCTTTTTTGTGGTACCGGGGATTGAACTCAGGACCCTGCACTTGCCAGGCAAGCACTTATTCTACTGAGCTATCTACCCAGGCCCTAAAGTTTCTAATACTAGGAGAAAATATCATATTATGTCTTATAAGTAGATTATAAGTCAAATATACAGTATAAATAAATCTTAAAACAAAAATTAAGCAATATTCAGAAAATTAATTAAAAATTAAATA